TGAATGATGTCATTTGATGAGAATCATTGGGAACAATAACTTGAATTTTTTGAAACAACTAAATCGAAAGTCAGCACCTACTAATTTTCAAACTGAAAACGTCAATTTTTGAAACTGAAAAAAAAAAAAAAAATTCAAACAGAAAACGCCAATTTTTCAAACAGAAATTTTTTTCACAATGAATACGCAAATTTTTGAAACTGAAAAATTGGTTTTCAAACAGAAAACGCCAATTTTTCAAAAACAAAATTTTTTTCAAACTAAATACGCCAATTTTAATTTCAAACTTTTTCATTGCACATTATAAATACATATACGGATACAGATTTAAGCACAAGTAAAAAACATGAATACTACATCAAACAATTTTTCCCTTGATTTGAATTTGTTGCCTGAAAACATGCTTACACCAAATGATAACTATTCCCATGTTCTACAGAATTTTCAGATCGATTGAATCAATTTCTGGAAGATGTTACAGTGGCTAACAATATGCATCATCCAAACAAGAAAAAAAATTTATCCAGTGATACAAGAAGAGCTGTTTTTGAGATGCTATTCCATGAACGACGAGATGGAAAGTTAGCAAAAGGTGTTATTTCGAAAGTTGCCAACTCGTTTTCTATATCTACTAGATCAGTTTCTAGAATTTGGCATGACATAAAATATTTGAGTGCTACAAATAGTGATGTACCAGATTTTTCTTCTAGACTATTGAATAGGAGATGTCGAAAGAGAGTCGAAATACATTTCGAATAAATGAAGAATATCCCTTTCTGTCATCGAACAAAAATAAGATCTTTATCGAACGCTTTGGATATGTCGAAATCAACCGTACATAGGAGAGTCAAAGAAGGACATATTCGTCCACAATCAAATCCAGTGAAACCATATTTACCGGACGAGAACAAGAAAACACGGTTGGAATTTTGCCTATCAATGATAGATGAAAGTACCCTCGCATCTACACCTACTTTTGTTAACATGCATAATCAAATTCATATTGATGAAAAGTGATTTTATATGTCGAAGACATCTTAAAAGTATTATCTCCATCCGAATCAAATGAAGCCCTTTCACACATGGAAACGTAAAAGGTTTATTACAAAGATAATGTTTTTGGCTGACGTTGCTCGTCCACGAGTTGATGCTAACAAATGAAGAATTCGATGGAAAAATTGGAATATGGCCTTTCGTCTCTGAGGAACCTGCCAAGCGGAATAGTAAGAATCTTGTAGCTGGGACTTTGGAGTCGAAGCCTATTGTGTCGATAACTAAAGATGTGATTCGTTCATGTGTGATTGAAAATGTACTACCTGAAATCAAACAGAAATGGTCATGTTCAAGTTCTAGGACTATCTTCATTCAACAAGATAATGCAAAGCCACATTTGGATGTTAATGATATCAACTTCGTAGAAGCAGCGAGAAAGGATGGATTCGATATTCGTTTATGTTGTCAACCTCCGAAGAGTCCCGATATGAATGTCTTAGACCTTGGTTTTTTTAGAGCCATTGATTCAATTCAACATCAAGAGGCTCCAACTACAATTGAGGACTTCATTTTAGCAGTGGAGAATGCTTTTCAGACATTTCCTTCTGAAGAGTTGAACAATGTGTTTCTGACATTGCAATCATGCATGATTGAGGTGATGAAAAATTTGAGGGGTAACAATTATAGGATTCCACATATGAACAAACAAAAATTGATGAGAAATGGACAACTACCGAATTGCATTCAGTTTGAGCC